CAGTTTAACACTTGTGGTAAGTTAAATCAAAAGGTTCCTCTGAGATTTAAGGCAAACTCTCAGCTGTGAGAGCCTATACAAATGAAAAGAAAAACACTTCCAATATTTAATGGCACAAGATAGACATTTCCATTCCAAAAGTTACAACCAGGGGGATACAAAGAAATGGGACCAAAATAAGTCCGAAATCCAACATGGAAAGAAAACATTAAGTCCTGTACCTTTATGTCCAGCATCTGAAGCAATCTGTGGCAAGATGTAAACTCCGAAGGTCTCTGCCCCTATGGCACTTCTGGTGGTTATAGCCCTTATGGCTACTCTTTCGGGGGCCTACTCTACTTTCTCCTTGCAGTTTTCCTCAGAAGAGACACATTCCTGGATTTTCTAAGCTTCTGGGGTCTCCACTGTACCTCTGACTTCATACTGCCCTCTCAGAGGCACAATGCCTGGCCTTTAAGGCCTTCTTTTTAAATCCTGGCGGAAACTTTTCTAACTCTACAACTCTACCATTCTGCATGTACCTAAAAGTAGTGTCATGTGAATGATACCAAAGTCTTCCAACATCTAGAGCAGAAGCCAGGCTTCCCTCTTTCTTAGCTATATGCCTTGGTCAGTGAGCACTCTGAATTCACTTCTGAGAAACAAATTCTCTATGTGGCCACCATTCCAGAACATGGTACTCTGGGGCATTCTTCTCAAATCAGAGACTTACAATTTTGAGGCTGCAAAGGGTGGAATCCTGTCATGCATCAGGCCATCTTTTTGATTCTTCTGTTCATTCTCAGCAATCAAGATCTCCTCTGCTCTATCTTTGCAGCTCACAGCTTCACTGCAGCTTCCTTTCTGATCAAAACTCAAGGTTTTAAAGCATTCTGCTGGGATCTTGGTTCTTGATTTTCAACACATGGCTACAAGCCTCCAAAAGTAGTAGCCATGACACTGCCTCAACATTAGACTGTTTTGAAGTTACTTCTCAAAAATTAATTAGTCCATCACCTTTAGTCTCAGGCAAAGTCTGGACATGAGCAAAATGTAAACAAACATTCTGGAAAGGCATAACACACATTATCTGAAGTCCAATAACCAATGCAGTCCTTCTCAGAAGAAGGACTGGGAAAGTAAAGACCTGCATGGTCTTTACTGGCAGGATTTCTATCAGCCTTCTGGTCTTCTGAGCTGTAATCAGAATCTCCCATGCAGTACAGCCTTTGGCATTCCACTACTACTTTCCAGCAGCCATCTCTAAACCTTTCCAAATTCTTCCTCAACCATTCCCAAAAGCTCTTGAACCACATGGTCAGATATAGTTACAACAACAACCCCATTCCTGGCAACAAATTCTGTATTTGATTTTCTCACTGCTAAGACAAAACACCCAACACCCACAATTAAGGGAGGAAAGGCTTATTTAGCTCCCAGTTTGTACAGGTTTCAGTCCATAACCAGCTAGTTCTGAGGCAGTGACACATAGCGGAAGGGCAACAATTCATAGCAGCAGAAAACAGTAAAAGAGGGCGAGGGCGAGGGCAAGGGAAAGGGGGAGATGGAGGGAGGAAGGGAGGAAGGGGGAAAGAGGGAGGGAGGGAGAGAGGGAGGGAGAGAGAGACAGACAAACAGAGACAGAGACAGAGACAGACAAAGACAAACCTCTTTCTGTCCCTTATATTGTATCTAGTCTACTAGGATTAGAGTGGTATCAATCCAATTAGTGGACTGATCCAGCAATCACCCACCTTTTATCGCAGCACCCTTTATCCCAGCATTATACTACAAATCAGTCAAGCACACTAAATTCAGCCACATCTGAAAAAAATCCTGAAGTCCCATGAGGCTTTGAGACACAAGCCATAACACTAGAGGTTCTCAAAGTCTCATGAGGTCATAGGCTTTTGGGAGCTGACTGGCTCATGAGTGATACTGGATCTCTGACGTGTGATACTGGATTAGTTCACTGATGGGTTTATAGCTGGATATGATGTTGGGAGGTGAAGCCTTGTGGGAAGAGGTGGGCACTGTGGGCATGACCTGGGAGCTGGAAGAAGAAATCACTCAACAGGGCTATAAATATTTACACTGAGACAGGAATAGTATACCAGAACAGAAAGTTTTATTTCTAACAGTACCATTTAGAAGAGTACCAAATAGGTCTTCCCTCAACAGTGCAGATTAATAGGCTCTAGAATGAGAACTGCTTGGGTCTTACTGGGCAAATTTTAAAAGTGAAACCTGAAAGGAGTAAACTATTCCAAATAACTTCACCTCTGAACAAAACTTGTAACATCTGGCAATAAAAATATATCAGAACTGCAAAGAAGCAGGAAACCATGATCTAAATGAGAAAAAGAAATCAAAACTGACCCAAGCTGGGTGTGGTGGCACAGGCCCATAATCCCAGACTTGGAAAGCTGAGGCAGGACAGCTGAAGAATTCAAGTCCACCTGGGCTATATAGTGAGTTTAAAGATAGCCTGAACTATCTTAAAATACCACAGTAAGATTCCATCTCAAAAATTCAAATGGGTTAAAACCAGACAAAATGTTAGAATTAGTAGACAATGATGACATTAAAAAGTTGTAAATATTTTTTCATACATTCAGAAAGTTAAATACAGACATGGAACAAGTTGAAAAAGAACTAAGAGGACTGCTAAGACCTGATTTCAAGGTATAGTATTTGCAATATAATAGTATTGGGACCACTCTGTCACTAATAAAATGAGATGGCTGTATTAATACTTATATTTTAATACTGGTTCTTTTCATTCTACAAAGGGAACTATGCTTTTAAAACAAATATAAGTGACATGCTCCTAGATAGGAAGAACACTGTGAAAATGGCCATACTCCCAAAATTGTTATACACATTTAATGCAATCCTGATTAAAATACCATTAGTATACCGCACAGAGCTAGTGAAGCTTTCCTCAAATTGATTCAGAACCAGGAGAGACCTAGAATATCAAAAGCAATCCTGGCAAAAAAAAAAAAAAAAAGAAAGACAGGAGGTCTCACAATCCCTAAATTTAAATTATACTATAAAGCAACTGTGATAAAATCAGCATGATACTGGCATAGAGACAGACCTGAGGATCAGTGAAACAGATTAGAAGAAGCAGACACAACTACAAACACACTCAGCCACCTTATCTTTGATAAAGGGGCCAAACATGCTCACTTGAAGAAAGATAGCCTCTTTAATAAATAATGCTGGAAAAACTGGCTTTCCACATGCTGAAGGCTAAAACTAGATCCATGCCTAACACCATGTACCAAGCTACAGTCAAAATGGATCAAAGATGTAAATATTAAAACAGAAACACTAAATCTTCTGGAGGAAAATGTAGGTAGATATCTTAAAGACACAGGGGTAGGTAGAGAGTTCATCAACTAATACCAAGCTGCACGGGTGATATTAAAAAGAATTAACAATGGGGATTTCATCTTTTTGAAAAGTTTCTGCACTTCAAAGCAAATCTCCAATAGAGTAAAATGAAAAGCCATAAACTGGGAAAAAATTATAGCCAACTGTTCCTCCAACAAAGGCCTTCTATTTAGAACGCATAAAGAATTAAAAAAAAATTAGACCCCCCCCAATTCAAAGACCCACTCCAAAAATAGGCATCTCAAATGAATATATACTTCTTAGAGGAAGAAATACAAATAGCAAGTAAATATAAGAAAAATGTTCAACATCATTGATCATCTGAGCAATGCAAATTAAAACAACACTGAGACTCCATCTCACCCCAGAAAGCATGGCTAATATCAAGAAGTCAGCCAATAACAAATGCTGGAGAGGCTGTGTGAAAAAGGAACTCTTCTGCACTGTTGGTGGGGGTACAGACTAGTATAACCACTATGGAAATCAATATGGAGATTCCCTAAAAATCTAGGACTGGAGATCCCATTCAAGCCAGCTATCCCCTTCTTGGGTATTTTTCCAGAAGAACTGAAAACCTCATACCACAGTGATATATGTTCACCCATGTTTACAGCAGTGTAATTTGTCATAGCCAAATCCTGGAAACAACCCAGATGTCCATGAACTGAAGAATGGATAAAGAGGTGGTATTTTTACACAATGGAGTATTATTTAGCTATAAAACCAGATAAATTTGGGTCTTTTGCCAGTAAATGGATGTAGAGAACATACTCAAGTGAAATCAGACCCGTATATGCAAACATCTCATTATTGTCTCCTTAGTGTGAGAATCTGAAAGAGAAAAATGGAATCTGAAGGGTACAATAGATACTGGGAAAAGACAATGAACTTATTCAAAAGGAAAGAGTTACTGAGTTGAGAAGGACAACTTCTTAGGGAGAGGGAGTGGGGTAAAAAGATTTATCCAGGTATGTAAGCAGGATGGTTTGGACAACTGTATTGTGCATTTCTGCTGGGTCTATTGAAAGGAACAGTTAAGGCTTAATTTGTTTTGTCTTCTTTTTTCACTTGTTTGTACTTTTTCTCTTCTTAATTTCTTATACATTTCTTTCTTTCAATTTTTACATGCATATATCTGGTAATATAAATGAGTTGGAAGACAACATTATGTATTACAACACAATACTATGAAATTCATATTACTTTGTTAAGTGAATTCTGTATCACTTGTAATTTGTTTTAATTCTAATTTATACTCTTTAAAAAATAAAAAAATAAAATATAAAATACAGTGAAAGGGAGGAAAGGAGTAATTAAAAGGATTAATATGTGTTAAGTACATGTACCAACTCCCCACAATGATTGTAATCATTATGCATTACAAATATGTACCAATAAAGATAAGCACTAAAAAAGACAAAAACTAAAAAAAGTGAGCAAGCACTCTCAAAGTAAAAGCAACTGTTCTAACTATATTTGATTAATTTTTTTAGTCTACAATATCTTATATAGTGTGTTTATTTCCTAAGTACAACTAGTTAGGATTATCCATATTCAAAAACAAGAAAAGGAAACAATATAATAGTAAACATAAAACTGGCAGATTAAAAAGTTTTCACCGTCAAAAGCTTGGTAGTGATTCCTGCATCCACCACAGCCTTGTGCATGGCACGTAATGTCTCTAGCTCTGGAGCAGCAATAAACACCACATATGGCATGAATTCAGATGTCCTCAACACCTTCAGTGCCTGTGCAGAAGAATAATACAAAGCACTTTATTTAACATTGGTACTTGAATTATTCTTTTAGTATAAATCAAATCTATCTGCCTGCTAAGGATTAAGGACATATTTTATTACATGTCTCCTGCTTTTCTGATGCTTTAGTGTTTTCCTAAAATAGTAACACATTTATTTTTTTGTACTGTCTCATTACTTTTTGTTCTTCTTGAACAAAAGTATAAAATTTAGTGATTTCCCCCCCAAAATTTAGTGATTCCCAAATCATGAATGACATAAACTATTACTAAGAATTTGTTAATACCAAATAAAGTAGAAATAACCTCAGTGCTGATTAATTGGAGAGTGATTAAATAAATCCATACTATGAAATACCATGCAGCAATTACAAAGACTAAAAATATCTCTTTAGTAACATGAAAAGAGCTTTAAGAAATACTGTTTAATATAAAACTAAAGAATCGATATAAAATTTATTATTTCAATTTTATGTTTTTTTAGATTGCAGCCATATTTTAAGTTTTAAATTTAGCCTTTCCTAACATAGGTATTCATTTATTATTTGAATAACTACATACTAGGTTTACACAGATTTAATTACATGGTTTCTACTATTTAGCTAGCTAGCTAATAAGATTCTCTATCACCTAAAGGTAAGAAGGGCAAATCCATCTTTCCACTTTGACAAAACAAACATTCTTATCCCCCTGCCATACAAATACACAAACAAAACCTCATCAGGAAATAAAATTTTCAAAACATTTTTGTAATTCATGCAGCTCACTTGTGGGTTGACATCCAAAATACAAGTTCGTCCAGTTTGGACAACTTCAAGAATAGAGTCAATCTTAGTTCCATAGAGATTTCCTTCATATTCCCCATGTTCCAAATACTTTCCAGCTTTAATGTCTGCTTCCATCTCTGATCGTGACACAAATTTATATGCCTGGCCATCTTTTTCATCTTCCCTTGGTTTCCGTGAAGTAACTAAATAAAATAAGGATGACAATTTGTACAAAGAGTTTTCAGGGTATAAAAAAAAAAAGACCAAAACATACAGGGTAACTATATTTTTCTTTTTGGTGCAAGAGTTTACAAAAACCACATCCACAGATTAAATGTGAACCATCTCCTGTTTTTTTTTTTTTTTCACAATTTTATTGATAAATAGCAATGAGACAGTTTCAAATCAAATCACTAAGACAGTTTCAATAACTAACACAATGCATACATTCTTCTTAGTAGTTAATTGCTGTACAAGATGCGGACTTCAGATCCTATTTACAAACACCATTAGAACAAATCATTCTATTTATTAACATAATGTAACTATATATCTATCCTAACCACTTTGAATACACAGATACAAAATGGACATTCCTCTGTATACCCCTTTTTTGCTAAGTTCCATTATTTGAATATTATAGGTGTGTAAACTCAAAATATTCTAAAAGAGTCCAGTAGCCCAAAATAGCATTGGGTCTTCTGTTTAACTGGCAGTGTCAGAAATAGTTGACCTGAGTCCACCACACCTCAACATAACAGCATGGCTTTACTTCCTACATTTCGTCTTCATACTTTTCTACTGAATGGTTAAGACCAAGGTAAAGCAGGACCTGTGCAACAAGAGTTGTAGCTTTTGGGTCTGATAAAGTCAGTGAAATCCCCTTAGGATTTATCCTGAGATCCTGTATCAGATTGTAGAACCTTTGTCAGTGTCAGCCATGTGGATGAGTCACGGCCATTGCTTGGCCAATGTGCTCTCTGTGAAAGCCTGAGAGAG